TCTCGGATAAAATGTACTTAAATACCTAGAATTAAAAATTTCTTATGGATACGAAAACGTCCACAGAATGTTGTGACAAACAGCGCTAAAAATTTTCCCAACTCGTTTTCAAAATAAAGTATCCTTATGAATTTTTTTTTGATGATAAACTTTTATCAACATAGATAGTATTTATGATATAGAAAAAAATAATTTATTTTTTCTTGTATTTTCTTATATCTTTAGATAAAAATATAAGCAAAAGTAACAAGGAACCTGCATATTTGGAAAGTTCCCTATAAAGTTAGTTTAATAAGCTTAAAATGTGGCCAATCTTGTATTCATTCTTGAGATCTAATGCAAGGTAAGAAACAAAATTAATAATCAATTGTCATTTAATTTCTTTATGTCATTATAGATACGTAGTTCTTCCTGTAGCAGTCGTGATTGGAGCAGTAGGATACACAATCGAAAGTACTATAAAAACATTAATAATTGATTAAAGAAGTCTTTATTTTTCCCATAAATTTACTTAGATATGGTTTCGTCAAAGTATACACCATACCAACCATCAATTGAGCAGCAAAGAATTAACAGATTGACATCTGAAGAAGAACTAAACCATCCTACTAATGTTCGAAAACAATCATATGAAAATGTCCTAGATAAGAATTTATCGAAGGGCTTGATCAAAACATGAAAAAGCTAGTTATACATTAAATATTTAATTAATGAAAATAAATGAGTTAGCAATTCAGAGTATTTTTTCGATGTTTTTCTTTCTATCTTTTTTTATTTTCTTTTGTTTCGAAGAGAAATTATTCGGTGTTTTTAATTCGTCATTTTCGTACGTCACCCATTCAAAATTTCTTCTCGAAATATTCGAACTAACAATGATTTCAATAAGACGAATTTTAAATTCAAATACTAATTTCAAAGTCTTTTTTGAGAACAATCGTAATCCTTTGATTTATTGTTCATTACGTAACATTTGTTCTTCACCAGTTCTTAAATGCCTACCTAGTGAAAGTCTTGAACAAAAAGAAAACGTTGACAAGAGTAAAGACCGCACAGAAATTATTCCTGTAGAGACATCCATTCGATATTTGAAGTCGTCATCTTATAATATTACTTACGGTAGTAATCCAGTTTGGCTTCCATACCGAAGAAACCACAAAGGATTGTTTCCCCCTCATAAAACAAGAAAGACGTGCATTAGAGCGGGGAAAATATCAACAGGAAATCCTTGTCCAATTTGTCGTGATGAATACTTAATACTTCATCATCAAAACATAGAATTACTGAAACAATTTATATCAGAACATACTGGAAAGGTAATGCTAACATGGAATTGATTTATTAAATTCCATTTATAATTCTTTATCTTAACTTGAAGGTTATAAGTTATTCGAAAACTGGACTTTGTCAAAAGAAGCATCTTGAACTCCTCGTCGCTATAAAAAGAGCTAAAGATTATGGACTCCTCCAATTTGAAGTGCCATTCAGAGATTACTCTGAATACTATGGATCAAGATCCCGGCAATAATCAATCAGCTTCACTCAATCAAAATAATCAAGAATATGAATGCGTGTTTTTAATAATAGGAGGAGGCATTGCTGGTATTTCATGTGCTGAAACTATAAAGTTGCTTGCACCTCATGAAAAAATTATCGTTATTTCCGAGTCAGATTTAGTGAAATCAACCTTTAACATCGTTCATCTGGGAAAGTACATTCAGTGTTTTGACATACAAGAAGTTGATTCAAAAACATTTGCTAATAATAATTTACAAATAATAACAGACAAGTTGAAAAAGGTTGTTAGTAAAGAGAATGTAGTCGAAACTGTAGACGGAATCAGAGTTAAATATCAGTTTCTATGTATTTGTACAGGAGCCCAACCAAAACTATTCCAGGACAATACGGCAAATGATAACATTTTTGGTATTCGCGATACTGAATCAGTGCAAACCTTCCAGAATCGAATAAAAAAAGGAAAAAAATTTGTGCTTGTTGGAAATGGAGGAATCGCATCTGAAATTGCACATGAAATACGAAACATAGATATTGATTGGGTCATTAAAGATCATCATATAGCTTCAAAATTTGTTGATAAAGGCGCTGCGAAATTTTTCAATGAACATTTAATGCACAACAGAAATAATGAGAAGACCACTACAATTATTAAGCGTCTGACTTATGAAGAGGATATCTTAACAAGTCATAAGAAAGCAGGAGCTGCACTTGGGCCAGATTGGCACAAAACGATTGACTTGCCAGAAAACTTTCAAAACAATCAAAAGTTAAAAGTGTTCTATGGTTCAGAAATTAAAGCTGTTACCAAAAATAGTCCAGCCGATGATTATTTGATCACAGTTGAATTGGATAACGGAAAAAAATTAAAAACAGATTTCATAGTGTCAGCCACTGGTGTCACTCCTTTAGTTAATTTCCAATTTGACACTTGCATTAAAACTAATAGCGATGGTGCTATTATTGTTGATGAGTTTATGAAGACAACAATTGAGAACATATTTGCAGCTGGTGACGTTTGTGAGGCTGGATGGACACATTCCTTTTTATGGCATCAAATGAATCTATGGACTCAAGCTAAACAAATGGGAACAATGGCAGGAAAAAGTATGGTAGCCGCATACAAAAAGGAAGAAATTTATCCTGATTTTTGCTTCGAAATGTTTACTCATGTAACAAAACTTTTCGGTTTTCAAGTAGTTTTGTTGGGAAAGTTTAATGGTCAAGGGCTTAATGACGGTTATGATCTTCTCTTCCGAGTGACACCCGATAAAGAATATATTAAATTTGTTTTACATAAAGGCAGACTTGTTGGTGCCATCTTAATTGGTGAAACTGGACTTGAAGAAACTTGTGAAAATCTAATCCTAAACCAAATTGACTTAACAGAATTTGGTGATGATATTCTTAATCCCAATATTGATATAGATGATTATTTTGATTGAAAAGGAATCGTGAAATAGTAAATAAACCAAATTATAAAAGAAAGTGTTTTTTTTTAAGATTTACAAGTAAATTATGCGTTAAATATTTACAGCCAAATTCATAAAAATAGCTAATCAACATTTTCTAACATTGTATCAACACAATATGTAAAATAAAATGAGGAACACGTAAATAATTGATAAAGTGACATTAATTTTATTTGCATAAATTGTAACGTTTCCATTGGTCGAAGTTCAAAATTTCGAAAATGTTGACAATGCAAGTTCAAAACTATTCGAAATTACTTGTTCACTTAAAAGTGAATTTTTGTTATTGTTCAAATAATTTATTCCTCTATTTAATATAACATTTTTAAAAGCGTATCTCAAGATTTTTTAAACTTTCAAAAGCTTTACTCATAATATTAGTGAAAATAACAAAAGAAAATAAAATGATAACACTTTGAAAATCCAATAAAAAATTTTGCATTACCGATGGATATTATTGAAGACTTGATTGAAGATACTGAAGAAGTTTTAACTTTTCATAGTAATGTTCGTGAGAATATTGTGAGTATTAAATTTTAATCTTTTAATAATAATTTAAAAAGAAATAACTACTTAAAGATACCAATCAATTTGGAATTGATAATCTCATTTTTTCAGTCTCCCTTGTTTTCAATTTCAATAATTCTTATTTTTTCGTTCAATTGAAAAATAAAAAATAATTTCTAATCATTCTTCATTTCACAAAGAATCAATAACTATTAATAAAACTGTTTTCTTCTAGATCTTTGTCCTTATATTTTTATTATTACTGGCAGGGAGTTATGTGTTAATTGAACGTTTTCGAAGACGTGATCGTGAAGATATTTACTCAACTGATGATGACGAACTGACAGTGTACCGTATCACTTTACTTTTCTGCATTTTTTCATTTTCTATTGCTATTGGTTCGATATTCTTGTTGCCAATTTCAATCATGAGCAACGAGGTTCTACTTCTCTACCCTAAAAGCTACTACATACAATGGCTGAACAGCTCACTCATTCAAGGATTATGGAATTATATATTCATTTTTTCTAACCAGGCCATATTCTTATTACTGCCATTTGCATACTTATTCAGTGAATCTTCAGGTTTCATAGGATATAAAAAAGGAATCATTTCTCGCTTGTATGAAACCTTAATCGTTTTTGCTTTAGTAATACTTCTGGTTGTTGGATTCATTTACATTATCCTTTCTCTTATCGATCCTGAAAGATGCAGACTCTTCTCTTTACTCAGTGAGTTTTAATTTCTAAACTATTATATTTAACAATTTAAATTGAGTTTTCCTATAGGTATAACAACAATTCATTTGCCGTTTCTATATTCTTGTGTTTCTTTTATCGGAGTTCTTATATTGCTTGGTAAGTTTAAGACTAATAATTTAAACTTTTTAAGTGTAAGACTAATGTTAAGGAAAATCGGAGATTTCGCCAGCTTTCGCAGTATTTTTATTTCGGCGATCCATTTTCGCGTTAATTGTGCACGTACTTTTAATTCCCCCTTATTTTTCCAACCTAATTTTACTTTACCATTGCTTGAACGCATTATTTATAAATTAAGAAAGAAACTGTTTGAACTTATCTATTTATAAATAATAATATCATGAAATATTATTTACTTTCAGTATGCACCCCTATTGGGTTTATAAAACTTTTTGGTATCATTGGACAATTATTGGGAAGTCCTAGAATAAAAGATTCTAATGAAGATTTTCAACTGCAAAATTTTGAAAGAGCTTCATTCAAAAGAAAAACTATTGACAAAAATCAACCAGATGCAGTTTTATTTAACCGTGAGTAACTGTAATTTATATTAGACTATTAGTGAGGTTTACTAGTAATGTGTAATTATTTATGGCTTACTACTTTTAAGAGAAGCAGGTTATAGCCAAAAAAAAAGTACTTCTTTAAAAAGTTTTAAGCTATAAATAATATAAAATAGCGAAGAACATTAGATGGTTCCTTTTTAGCCACGATTTCGAGGTGATTGGTTTTTTGCCACATACCATAAAATTCTTTATAAGCAAAGCTGTTAATTATTGTATAAAATAGGTCATAATTAATATATTTCTTGATTTTCTTATGAAGATTTGACAAAATCTACAAACTGTTATAAATACAGTTACATTTCATTGTCGTCCAAACTATCTGGAAATTTGGAGGAATTATCCAACTTCAAACATTCATCGCAAGTATTAAGTCAAGAAAAAAGCCTTTTAGAAATTCAACTGAAAACAACTGTAACCAAAGGAAAACATCTCAAATGTGTGACGTGGGAGAATCATTATGAATTTCCAGAGATGAAATGCAAACATTCAAAAGATAATAAATTTACTGCTCAAAGAATTGAGAACCTTAATAAGAAAAAGCACGCTTCAAAAACATTATGGTATCTAGCTTTGCTATTCCTTCTACTTCTGACTTCAATAACTGTTCTGCTTGTGCTACAAAATACAATAGAGCTATTAATAGGAATCAAAGCATTACCATCAAGTAGTAGAGTAAGTTTAGATAAGATAAATGGAGCATCCAAACTACAATAAACAATTTTAATGATTTTGCATTTTTTATTTAGCAATTTACTTTAGGAATTTCATCACTATCAAAACTTGGAGTGTTTGGAGCTACGTTAGAAGTACTAGTCATTTGTTATCTTGGAATAACTTCATTCGTAGGCCTATACACTCTGCCACAATTAGGAAAAATTCGACCGAAGCTTAAAAAGACATCACTGAATCATTTGATTGTCAACATTACATTTGCCCTGGTTTTAACGTCAGCTTTGCCACTTCTGTCGAGAATTTTAGGTTTGTTAAATTTTGATTATTTTGATTATTTATTGATTACATTAGCAGTTTGAGCTAACTTTCATTTTTAATTTTAGGGATTACAAATTTTGATCTTCTAGGAGAATATGGTGAAATGGAATGGTTAAGAAACTTTGTAGTAATTTTACTTTACAACATCATTTTTATGCTCTCTGCTGTATTTTGTATCATCAAAAAATTCTCATTGACCTTACAACAGGAGCTATTGGCTAGAGTAGTTGAAAATTATCTAATATTTATAAGCTATGTTTCATTTATAAATTAGAAATTTTTAAATTTGCTGCAGCAAAAAAATAGAATTAAAAATATTCACAAAAAAGGAGTGTCATTTTATAAGAACTTCACAAAATAAAAAGAAATTTAGTAAAAAGTAAAACAATTGGGAGCTCGTTATATCATAATTAAAATTCTTTGAATAATTATCAAGAGCCAATAACTAACGGCAAATAGAAATTTAAAAATTTAGACTTTACTGAATACATTTTAAAATGGTTTGAGTCTTCGGAGGAAAATGTAAACAATTGCAAAAAATTTATTTTTAATTTCTTTTCGCATGATTCTTTATGTCTATTGGTGAATATTGTTTAAGCTGTAATAAAACATTTTCTTCATAACAATTTCACTTAGAAACAACGATAGAATACCACATTTTCATGCTGAGGATAATTCATAGATACATTTGAGATCCATCAATTTTTCGTTCGATAATTCTCACATTCATAAAAATGAATACAGCTGGAAAAAATTGAATCTAAGTCTTCACCAGGAGTTTCAAGTTTATCAAGCCATCCTTCTATGATACAAGTATCTCCCAAGAGAAGCTGAGAAAAAATATGAAAAAGACAGAAACAATGCAAAAAAAGTTAAAGGAAATAATACGAATGTGTATTGGTTTGACGAAAAAAAGAAAAAACTTTTATTTTATAAAAGCTGAACTTTCATATTTAAGGGCGAAGTTTCCTTACTCTTTGAGGAAAGGCACAAAAAGATATTTGAAAAAAAAATTAATAATATTGGTTCCCTTAAGTAATAATGATATGAAATCTGAGAGATCAAGGCGAAAAAGCAATCGGTAACCGATATGCAACTGCTCTTCTCGGTTAAACGAATGCTCAATTATCCTGTAATTTGATAGAACTTTAATTAACTTTTTTCTTAAGAAATGAATAAAGATTTTTTAATTCAATTTATTTAAAGTGGAATTTACTACATTTTCTGTCAAAATTAAAATATTGAAACAATGTACCTAAAATTTTTATGATTCCAATTTTTTAGAAAGATAACTAAAAAGTGTTATTCCTATCTAAATTTTTGACTTGATTTGGCTTGACAAACCGAATTGCGTGTTTATCAAAGTTTTGCCTTATTTTTTTGACTTGACTTGAAATTTTTTGGTTCGACTTATTTTTCTTCTTGGTTTGGCTTGAAATTTTTTTGGACTCGACTTGTTTTTTTTCTGATAAATATGCAGAAATTTCATGACATGACATAATCTGAATTTTAAGGAAGTTCTTTTAAAAGCTTTCCCAAAGTTTTTAAAAGTTTTCTGAAAGGTTTGCATTAATTTTCTAATAGTTTTCAATGCGTTAGATGACAGACTGGCAAAAATTTTAAATTGCAAGCTCGATAAATTAATTGATCTAAGGTGGAAAAAAATTAGTTTGTCAATGTTAAAATTATAGAACTATCTCTAGCAATGACTTATCATTAGGGTATAAGTCCATGCTAGGTAGACTCTAATCTAGTCGGTTCATGAAATTAATATTAAAACCTGAAAAGCCATAGTTTCAATTTAGTATTAAATATTAATCTAGTGAATTTTATTATTGAGATGACGTGACTTGCGAAGAAAAAGTTTAGTAACGAAAATTTGCGGAACAAAGCACTCCTATGAGCTTCTTTATTTTTACTTAAATGGATAGTTAGAGCACCATGATTGTGATGGTGACCAGAAAAAATATTTAGGTATGGTAAATATCAAAAAGAAACTTCAACTTGAATTAAGTGATAAAGTTCAATAAAGTTTTTTTACATTAAGTTTATATTTAAACATACGTGCTGAATATATTTTTATTTGGGAAACTTTTGTCAATATATTCTGTATTAAGCGTTATTTTATCTCTTCTATGTTTTATCGATTATTAGGTGTAAGAAATTTGTTTTTATCTTTCCAGTTTCCCAAACAACAAAAAGGAAAGATTCAAAACTGTTTTCTTTAAATAAAAAATTGTATTATCGATTTTGGTTAACACAGAAAAAATATTTTTTTTACGCCAGAGGGCTAAGAGTTATTCAAGCTTTTTTTGGCCTTTTATATATGTTTGACCTTATTAAGAGTGACTAAGTAGTAAATGACTTCAACTTTGTGAATAGAAATTAATGCTTTGTTAAATATTATATGTTAAATATTCCCATTCCCAAGATGTGAAACAACGTTGCTTTGTTGTATATTTTTCGCTGTTTTTTATGTGCTATAAAAGCAAAGAAAAACGACATTTGAGGCAGAAATATTGATCTGCGCAGAATAAAAAAGTTCATAGAAATTACGTTTTGCTTTTCTTCATATTCACGTTTATGTGCTATGTGTTATTTATGTACACTGGTATATAACGACGGAGAAGGTTTTAATCTCGAAGTGAATCTAGGTCATACGCATTTCGTTTTTTTTAGTTGTAATTTCTATGAATTTCGGAAAGACATTTTTGATTTTCATTTTTGTAGAACATCATCTTCATTTAACCGATGCGTAATATAAGAACTAAGCATAAACTTATGTTTTATGCGTATTCAAGTAATACTAACGGTTTCGAATCACGAAATTTAAAGTTCTTATAATTTTCCTTATAAATACTTTGTATTAATAAGACTCAATATGAAAATCATATGACCGAAGGAAACATTAATTTAAATAAAGCTAAATGAAGCATGATTGAAATTGAAAAAGGGAAATTTAAATGTTCATTCTAAGAAATTAAAAGTTAAATCTGAATTTTCAGCATTTGAAAATTATTCAGAACTTTTTCATTGACACATTTTGCTTGCGATGATGATGAATCTCTTTTTGCGTCCTCATTTAACAATGCAGTTGATATTATTGGGTGAAAATTTTTCTAATATGGAGCATTCTGTCACAAACGAGAAAAAAACGCATATGTCTAATCAAGTTTTTATTTGTATTTCGTTATCACTTGTTTTAAAAGATAATCAAAATTTCTTGTCGTCATCAGCATCAGGTCCAGGGTGAGGTTCTCTTACGAAAGACTCGACATGATTGCGTTAGCGTTGGCAATTATGTTACATTGGACTATTACTTTTAATAACAGTTTTTTAACTGGTACAACCATCCGTTATGTGTCCCCCAATGTTTTTCATGAAGATGCATTAGGTCGAATATAGCCGATGTTCGTGCCTTAAACAAACCTCAGGCGAGAGACTATTGATCTTTGCCAATGATAAAGACAATTTTCGACCAGAGTTTTATGTGTAATGCGGAAAACCCATGAAAGCGATCGCATTGCATGTGTTCCATTTTCAGCATCGTTCCTAATTTTGCTTTCTCATTGTTCGCCTTGATACGAATATCAATTTGATGTGGTTCCAAGACCAGCATATTGCTTAGATGAAACAGTCGCATCGAGCCGAAATATCTGAATTTTACCTTGCCTCCTGCCCGGGGTTCGAACCAGGGACCTACGTATTAGATTTCATACACAAGCACCCTAAGCCAACAAGGCCAAACGAGTCAAAAATTTTAAAAGTACAAATAAATTTTTGCAATATTCATAAATGATTTTCCGTAATGCCTAACTAAGGTAATGGTTAAAATTAGGTACTGGTAGATTTTTCATCTCATTTTGATCATATGAAATATCCATATGCATATCAACTTTCGGATTATGCTTTGATGCAAATTGCTACATACATCATAATTTACAATGATTATTTTAAGACTTAATTTTAGCAGATATTTTAATTAAGTTTTTTAGAAAATTTTGATTTCAAATTTGTTATGACAGTATTCAGCTCTAAAAGATTGTAAACGAGGAAAGAATAACGCTGAAATGCCCCAGTTAACAAACTTATTTGGTTGGCTATACCAAAATTAGGGTAAAACAAGGTATTGTGAACACAGTGTTTTTTGTAAGGTATTGTGAACACACCTAATTTCGAATGCGATTTTCTTCGCTATTTTGCATTCAAATGGATCAAAACTTTGTATAGAAGTAGTTTGAACTATCTACTCTACTTCTATACAAAGTTTTGATCCATTTGAATGCAAAATAGCGAAGAAAATCGCATTCGAAATTAGGTGTGTTCACAATACCTTACAAAAAACATTGTGTTCACAATACCTTGTTTTACCCTAATATTTTAAAATCTAAATATAAGAATTCCAATTATCATTTTCNGTAAAGCCGATTTATAAATCAACAAATTAAAACACATAGGGTAAAACAAGGTATTGTGAACACAATGTTTTTTGTAAGGTATTGTGAACACACCTAATTTCGAATGCGATTTTCTTCGCTATTTTGCATTCAAATGGATCAAAACTTTGTATAGAAGTAGTTTGAACTATCTACTCTACTTCTATACAAAGTTTTGATCCATTTGAATGCAAAATAGCGGAGAAAATCGCATTCGAAATTAGGTGTGTTCACAATACCTTACAAAAAATACTGTGTTCACAATACCTTGTTTACCCTATTAAAATTTGTAGCTGTAGTCACAAAATCGAAAACTGGTCACTCGAATAAAAACGAAATGAAGGAAAAATTGCAGTATTTGAAAATGCGAATTTCTTTCAATTTAAATCTTGGAAAAACTAAAAAGATTAATTTCAGCAACCAGTAGGTAGGTGTGTATTGCTTTAATTTTTTCTTCTTGAAGTATTGATTTTCTGGTCTTAAAAATTTGACTTATTAAAACGTTTCTATTTTCACATCATTCTTCTTCCTCTCTCATTGTTTTCCTGTTTCAGCTGTGTTGATACGACGTAAATAATAGTGCGTTTTAAAGAGAGTCTTTATATTACTGTTCTGTATAAAACAATCATACAAACATCAATATCATGTTGTTCCTTATTCTGTCACATATTATGCATTTTAGACGTCCCCTTTACACACAATTTTTAATGCTCACTTTCTCTTTATCTTTCTCTCTCTCTCCCGCTCTCTTACTATTCTAAATAAATTCTGTTTTAGGCATTCACGTGCCATTATATAGTTCATTGACCTGATAGAGTTCCATTGCATGTTGAAAAAATATCTTCGCCATTTGAGAATAAAGCTGATGAAAATAAAGGAAATTTCGAAGTTACTTTCATATTTTTTAACTTCATCTAAGACTGACTGAACTGTCATTAAAATATAGTATTATATTTCACATGATGGGTTTGGTAGTAAAGTGAAAATGTTTTTTGTGCCTGCTGATGTTATAAAGAAAGGCCTTTGAAATGAAGACATTGAATGGAAGATAGAAAGTATGCAATTGTAAATTTTGGCTGATTTTCTATTTTTTCTTATTATGATCAAGAAAAATTAAGAGTATCCATAAAAAATTAATCCGAAAATTTTCTCATACATTAATCACTGTTTTTCTTTATGCTACATGTATGTATTTTATTCAAATAAAAGTAGAAAACCCATTATTTTCAAAAATCTTTAAACAGGGTAGTCGAACACGCTACAAAATGTTTGATGTGTTCAATGTTTTCTACATTCAATGACCTCGATTTATGGTTGAAGCACCGTCACAAAGCACTGAATATTAGTTTTTCGCTCTCGTGCTGCCTCTTTTCCTCATAACAGAAGCATTTGATCGCCTCACGTCGAGTTATTCAGTTGTGTTTTCATATTGCTCCATTAATACATAAATATATAGTATTTATATGGTATATATATACATTTTATATATACAT